CAGCTACTACGGCACGGTGCGCTACGGCGCGCTCGAGCTCTGCGTGCCCGCCTGGGAGGACGCGCGCCGGCGCGCCCTGGACGTGGCCACCTTCGCCGCCGGCTACCTGCTGCCGGTGGCCGTGGTGAGCCTGGCCTACGGGCGCACGCTGCGCTTCCTGTGGGCCGCCGTGGGCCCGGCGGGCGCAGCGGCCGAGGCGCGGCGGCGAGCCACGGGCCGCGCGGGGCGTGCCATGCTGGCCGTGGCCGCGCTCTACGCGCTCTGCTGGGGCCCGCACCACGCGCTCATCCTCTGCTTCTGGTACGGCCGCTTCGCCTTCAGCCCGGCCACCTACGCCTGCCGCCTCGCCTCGCACTGCCTCGCCTACGCCAACTCCTGCCTCAACCCGCTCGTCTACGCGCTCGCCTCGCGCCACTTCCGCGCTCGCCTCCGCCGCCTCTGGCCCTGCGGCCCCCGCCGCCGCCGCCACCGCTCCCGCTGCGCGCCGGGCGCCCGCCGCGCCCTCCGTCGCGTCCGCCCCGCGTCCTTGGACCCGGCCGGCTGCCCCGGGGACGCCCGGCCTCGCGGGAGGCTGCGGGCGGGCGGCGGCTGGGACGGAGAGCTTGCCCGAGGAGGAGAGCCTGGACGGGCCCTGCCGGCCGCGGGACCGTAATAAACCTGGCCCGCCTGGACCCTGCTGGATGTCTGTCTGTCTGTCCCTTTCCCCAAGGGCAGGGTGCCCCTGAGCCAGGAGGATGGGGCCAACGCCAGGAGCTCGCTGATTCCACAGAGGAACCGGTCAGCCCCGCCCCCAGCAGTGCTGCCCGGAGGGGTCAGCCCCCTCCCCCAGCAGTGCTGCCGGGAGGTCCGCCCACAGCCCGGCTAGCAGGAGGCGGTCTGTGCCCAGCATCCTTCTCCGTGGGCTCCGTCTAAGCCCTCGGCCTCCTCCACCCCGTCTCCAAGCCTCCTCTCGGCCCCAAGTCCTGTCCCTAAGTGATGCAATACCAGCAGCTAATATAGAAAATCTTCATTAAGCGCTTACTGTGTGTGTCTCCCATGGTGCTGGCTTCCTTAACCACAGCCGGAGGTTTGCAAAGTGGATATGGTTGGCCCCGTTTTACAAATGTAGGAATCAAGGATCAAACAGAGGTTGGATTCAAACCCTTGGCTGTCGTGTGTGTGTGTGTGTGTGTGTGTGTGCCGAGGGAGAGACAGATCTTCCATGTGCTAGCTCATTCCCAGAATGCTTGCCTGGGCCAAGCACCAGGCCATACTGAAGCTGGGAGCCAGGACCCAGATCTTGCCTGTGGCCCACTGGGACCCACCCACCCGAGCCACCGCCCATTGCCTCCCAGGATGCTCACAGGCAAGAAGCTGGAGTGACGCGCATGGCTGCGCTGCGCACCAGCCACTGACCCGGGATGCAGGCGTCTCAAGCACCCGCTTGAGCACCGGGCCAAGGGCCTGCCCCACCCGTGGCTAAACTTCCACTCCTTCTCCACCTGGCCGTTTCCATGGTTCCCACAGTTTTCCCTGGTTCTTCCTGCTTTCCTTGTCCAAACCTGCAGCTCCCCCTGCCTGAGTGGGTCCTGTAGGACACTTAGGGAGTCCCCAGCCGCCTTGCTGCGGAGTTCCGTCCCAGTGCGCGGGCTGGCAGGTGCGGTCAGGTCTCCCCGGACCCCGCGCTTCTCATTACCCCCACAGCCCAGAAAGGGCACGCAGCCGCTGCCGCCTGAGCCCAGCTGGCCTCCCGGTGGCTGCTCTGTGGTCTCCTCCCTCCCTCCCTCCCACCCAGCTGGGGAAGTCTGTGGCTGTGGAAATCCACTAATTAACCAATGAATCCGCCTCCATGGTTTCAGAGCTACACACCTGCCTCCCTCCCCACACATCAATACTGTTTATTAGCTCCTGGCCTTGCAGCCTGCACGCCCCCAGCATCCTCCTGCCACTCTGCTGCCGGGGCGCCCTGCGGGAGGCCCCTCTCTGGCAGGAGGCAGCTGCCCCGTCCACCTTGCTGCCTGCCACCTGCCACAGACCCAGAGGTAGAGTGACCGCAGGAGGCGGTGACCAGGGCACAGCACAGGCCCGCACCCCCCGCTAGGCTGCAGGGAGACCAGCTCCCCCAGCCAGCAAGTGGCAGAGCCAGACAGCCTGTGTGAGACCCCAGGCTGGGGGGCCCCTCCACAATGGCCTGGGGCTTCGCCAATGGTAGGGGGCAACTGTAGCGCCCTAGGGCCCTGACAGGGGCTCTGAGGCCCCCCGTTGCTGAAGTCCCTCCCTCTGGCCGTGAAGCCTGCTAGAGAGACGCAGAGGCCATTGGAGGCCAGCTCCACCTGCCACTGCGCAGCCACCGGATACGTGAGGACAGGGGTGCGGGGTGGGGAGCACAGACCCGAGCCTTTTCTTCCTTTATCCCTAAAACACTCAAGTGCCTGCCCTCAGCTGGCTTGGGGAGCTGACAGAGCGGCCGTGAGTCCAGCCGGGGGCCCTGCCCTGCAAACCAAAGCAGGGAAGGACAGCGCCAGGGGGCGGGGCCCTAACCAGAGCACCCACGTTGCTGAAATGGTGTGGCGGGTTTAGCGAAGCTCCTGCCTTGCTGGGCCACCCAAGTGGGAACCCCAGAGGTAACAGGTCACACACGTTTTCCGGAGAAGGCTTGGACATGCGCGCTGCAGCACCGGCCTGGGGCCGGGAGAAGGAAGTGTTGGCAGGGACTCCCAAGGGTGGGTGGGTGAGATCAGCTGGCAGTGGGGACCGCCGCCTGCAGGGGGAGGTGTCCGGGAGGGGAGAGGCCTCCCCGGGTGCGGTGAGGGCCGCAGGGTTGCTTCAGAGACCTGGAGGGAGGGGCCAGGCCGGAAGTCTGGGGCCCAGTGATGGGCCGTCCAGTGAGGAAAGCCAGCGAAGGCTGGTCTTGCCTGGGAAATGCTTTTTGCTGTGAATGGCAGGAGGCGTGAGGACTGCTGCTGGCCTTGGGCTGGCTCCTGAGCTCCTCTGGGTTTGCTTGGCTTAGGAGAGAGCTGTGTGTCCAGCAGAACCCAAAGTAGGCACCTGGGGCTGGTGCAGAGGCTCGGTGAACCCTGACTCAGACATCCCTGGGCCCGGGAGAACCCACCCGATCTGAGCTCCCTGCCACGTTGAGAGCTGAGCTCGCAGCAGCCCGCGTGTCCCGGGAAGGGGCCCTTTTTGGTTGGAGGAGGTGGGGGTTCTCCAGCCCCCTGGCCTGCCTGGGTGTGCAAACCCCTTGGAGAGGGACTGCATCTTGGAGCTGAGCACCTGCTGGGTACAGGATTCTCCTGCAGGCGGGGAAGACGGAAGTTCCAGGGACTGTGCAGCCAGAGCAGAGAGGCCAACCCGGAGCAGGGAGCCCGCCGACTTCCTGGAGGAGCTGGAGCCCATGCCTGGGTGGCACTGGCCGGGACAGTCGGGGAAGGAGATGGGATAGACGTCAGGCAGGGGCGGGTGGGACAGGGGATGGGGAGCCTCTGCTGGAAGGGAGGTGGGAGAGTGGGGCCGGGGCCGGACGCCGTGGATCTTGTCTAACACGAAGGCCATGCTTAGTCCTGAGACCACTGGAGAGCCATGTTTTTAAAAGCAGTCACCTGGCATGAACTCTTTCTGGCTGGCGAAGCAGGCGTTCGAAGGAAGCAAGAGCAGAGTGAGCCCGGGGAGCCCGGGGAGCCGGCGGGGGGGGCCTGGGGCTGGGACCTGGGCAGCAGGGGGCAGGAGGAGAGGCAGGACTGTGGGGACTTGGGGGATGCTGGAGCATGAGGGGGGGTCGCAGACGACTCCCAGACTGCTGGGGCTGGCACAGGGAGGCAGATTTGGGCTGGAAAACCCTGTGTGAGACCAAGGAAAGGAGAAATCCAAGACGACACCGTGTGATCTACAGGGGGACTTAGAGCCGTGACCTCGGGCGGGCAGCAGACACTGGGCTCCACACCAGTGAGGCAGGGGAAAAAGAAGAAGACAAAAGGGCCCCTGGGCTTTCTCAAGAAATAGCAAGGTTCCAGGCGTTGGAGAAGGACACTGCAGGGTCCTGCTGGCAGGACAAGCCCAGCGGCTTGGCTTATGTTAGTGACCTGGTGTCACCCACAGGGCTTGGGGGGACAGGCGAGGCTGGGGCGTGTGAAACTGAGGGGCCCGCGGGCCGTGGTTGGGGCGTCCACAGGGCACAGGCGTGCTGAGAACGTGCCACATTTCAGGCCCTGTGCTTGGCCGTGGAACTTAGCTCTCATTTGCTTCGGAGTTTGAAAATGGGGAAACTGAGGCTCGGGGAGATGAAGCGGCTTGCACAAGATGGCGCACACAGCCAGCCCGGGGCAGGGTCGAGGTCTTAACTGGGGTGCATCTGACTCAGGTGCCGTGATCTCGGGGGAAGGCAGTGGGAAGGGGTTGGTTGAAAGGAAGGATGCGCTTGAATGTGTCTTTTTAAAAAGAAAATATTTATTTATTTACTTGAAAGGCAAAGTTGTAGAGAGAGAGAGAGAGAGAAATAAAAGATCCTCCCCTCCATCCACTGGTTCACTTCCCAAGTGGCCACAACGGTCAGGGCTGGGCCAGGCTGAAGCCAGGAGCCTGGAGCTCCACCCAGGTCTCCCACGTGGGTGCAGGGCCCAAGCACTTGAGCCATCCTCTGCTGCTTTCCCAGCCATTAGCAGGGAACTGGATCAGAAGTGGAACAGCCGGGACTCGAACTGGCACCCATATGGGATGCTGGCGCCACAGGCCACGGCTTCACCTGCTATGTCACAGCACCAGACCCTTGAATGGGTAAGGAAGGCGACGTCTCCTGCCTGCCCTGTACAGTGACCATGGCAGGCGAGATGAGGGCCCCGCACAGTCACGCTGACCAAGGCCTCCTCTGCCTGCCGCTGGCGGGAACAGCTTCATCTGTCAGCTTGGAGGTGTGGACCCCGGGAGCTAAACACCAATTAACCACCCGAGGTTCCGGATTAAGGAGCGTCAGTGCCTCAGCCCGAGGCAGGCTCATTTGCCAGCCACTGGCTGAGCAGCAGCGAAAGTGTTTCTGGCTTAAGAGGACCCGGCTGCGATTTATCAGACATCTGCTTGGAGCCCAGTTAAGCCGCCCAGGGCAGCGCGGTGAGGGTGGGAGGGGCCGGGGGCGGGGCTGTGGTGCTGACATGGGCGGTGGCCTGGGCACCTGGTGGGTGAAGGCAGAGACTGGGAGCCACACTGTCTGGTTTGCATCCTGCCTCCTGCACGCCAGGGCTGCGATCTGCTGCATCTCTGTGGCTGCAGAGCTGAGCTCTGGCTGGGCAGGGCCCCACTGTGTCCTGGGGAGGCAGCCAGAGGCATACGGCCCGGTGTGTGCTGTCACCCATGGCAGCCTCCTGGGCTTCCAAAGCCGGAAAGTCGCCAGCCCTGTGTGTTCAGGCTCAGCCCAGGCAGGGCAAGGCTCCCATACTTCTCGGGGCCATCTGTGAGGTGAGCAGGTCCTGCCTCTTTATAGGCTTAGGTTAGCTTGAGGGCCAGCACCAGGGGGTTTGGCCTAGACGTCCCCTCTGGGCCCCGCTGGCTGGGATGACCTCAGGCACCAGTCCAGCTCCCTGACCCTGGCTTGGGCTCAGCACCTCAGGCAGCCAGGGAGCAGGCAGTCCTGGGGACAAGGACTTTTGTTACCTTGAGGCCACAACCCATAGCCGGTGCTCCTGGTGCCTGCCCTGGGCCAAGGATGGGTCTGGTCCGCTGGATGATGAAGGCAACCTTACCTGTTTCTGCCTGCCGGGGCAGACCGGCCCTCCCTCCCTAGCCAGCCCCTCCCCTCCTCGGCCCTGAGCCAGCTCACACCTGTCCTCCAGCCCCTAGGCCTGGCTCAAGGTCCAGCGAAGACCACTGCAGACCCAGTCGCACTCCATCACCGGGGGTCGCCCTGTCCCCATCCCCGGGGAATCGGGTGCGTGCCTGGTCCGCTAAGCGCTCTGCATCACCTGCTCGGCCTAACTAGCCATAGACAGAGGCAGCTACCCAGCAAGGGTCCAGGAGCCCACCAGGAGCACTGGGGATACTGGGCTTTGGAAACCT